CTCTAAAGCAAATACAAACTGAAAATTCGCTTTATCGAGAAGGTAAACACTAGGAGGGTTGCAGAACCCAACTGTCAGACTAAAGGGCACATACGACCAAAAGTTAGGTTGTCCAAGCAACGATATTTTTCAGCAGTTGCAGACGCGATAGATAAATAGAGAGTATATTTAGAACACAATCACTGCCAATGCCCCGCCCGCGGCTAAGGCTAAGCTGTAGGAATTTCACCGTCAGAGCGATATCCCGCGAATGAAAATCGCGCTTAACGAAACCGCAGCCTAAGACGCGAAATCAATTCTTTAATAAGTACTTTATAGATAGCTTAGCACCAATAATAATGTCAGTATTGAAATCCAATGGAGAATCACTCTTGCCAACAAGTGCTACTTATCTCGTCATACAAAGATCACACTCTAAAGTCACTCATCATGCCTGAGCTGCTGTATGGCGCGGACGCATGGACAATGAAAATATCTGACGAAGCGGCTCTTAGAACGATTTACGGACCTTTACGCATTGGTGATGGCGAATAACGCAGACGATTTAACGATTATCTGTAAGAGATTACAACAATATAGACATAGTGCAGCGCATTAAAATTCAGCAGCTCCGCTGGCTTGGCCATGTCGTTCGAATGGACAGAAACGCTCCTGCTCTGAAAGTATTCAACAAAGGCCGCGATGCTGGTAACAGAGGAAGAGGAAGACCTCCTCTGCGTTGGAAAGACCAGGTGGAGAAAGACTTGCTTTCACTTGGCATCTCCAATTGGCGTCAGTTGGCACAAAAGAGAAATGATTAGCGTGCTGTTTTGGACGGGGCCAAAATCGCTTAGGGTGCGTTCACACCGAAAGCCGAGTGGCGCCGAGCGAAGCAAGGCGGAACCAATCGAAGCTGCTGGTGTTCACACTGAATGAACCGAAGCGCAGATTTTCTCACAAACTCTGCTGCAAAGATACCACAAAACTTACCGCCAATGAAAAGCGGCAAAACATTTGCTCAATTTTATTCAAAAGATTCGTTGTAAAATTCGTTTTGATTTGAATATTTTGATATCCTGTTTTCAAGCAGCGTCATCAAACATAAAAATTTAATAGAAAATTCAAAATCAAAAACTACTTTGCTTTCAGCTCCAATATGCTTACGAAAAAGCTTGCTATATGAACACTTTCATATAGCTACAGCAATTTGGAAGCTTCACTCAGCTCGGAGCGGCTCCGCTCGACTCCGCTTTCTGTGTGAACGTACCCTTAGGCAGTTACAGCACCAATAACTAAAAAGAAGACGATAATGGAATCTGAAGAAATCTTTAAGAATATAGATTCCGATGAGTGAGGTAACAAGAAAAATTATATCACTGACAATAACGATGCTAAATAACATTGGCGAACACCTTTTGAAAATGCATATTATTATGTCAATAATAATATCCATAACAACGACGATAAAAATATTATATAGTAATAATATCGATAAGTTTTGTCGAAAATAATGTCGATGATGATTTTAATATCGACAACCGTAAAAATGCTGATAAAGATAACGATATCGATGAATTTATTAACGTGCATATAATAGTTACTACAACAATGGTATTAACATCTATAACGATACAGAGATCGTGCTGCTCACCAAGAAATGGATCCCAACAATTATAAACATGATTTCGTGACAACTTTCGTGACAACTTGTAGGCCTACAAAAAAGCTAGAGGTGAAGCTTAACAACAAGCTCACATTTTAGGAACACATTCATGGAGAATGTGAAAAATCTGCGCAGAGAACGGTGGCTCTAAGGCGGCTGATGGTGAATGTGGGCGGTCGATTTCTACCTGATGCAATTCCTCACCGGTCATGATTACTGCCGAGAATAACTTCATAGAATGGACAGGGTGGACTCACCATTCTGTTGCTACTGTAAAAACGTCGAAGATAACGTACACCATACATTCTGCACTTGAGAGCACTTCTAGACTTCGCGCACAATGTTAGAAGAAACTCTCAATAACATAATTGGGGTAATGATCTCCAGTGCAGAAAAGTGGGAAGCAGTCGCGAGATACGTGAAATTCTTATTCCATTGGAAACGAGAAGACGCATGTGTACTGAGAACACCCGAATTAGACGCGACCACGAGAGAGCAGCCCTGAGGTTCTAGCAGCAGCGCGCTCCTGCATCTGAAGACATGCAGAATTGTGGTGCCAGATGTGGTTTTTAGTGGGTAACCCAATGATAACAATGTGGATAACGTTGATGATATCAAACCATTATAGTTATAAAAGTTAACATATCAATATGAATAACCGTAAAATATCATGATAACAATAATAATATTGATTGACTATATCAATGCAGACTAAAATAGTATTTCGCATCAATGCTCGGAGCGTTCTGAATAAAAAAAAAAACTTGATAAAAAATTCTATCGATAAAAATAATGAGTGTGCTAATCGATAATAATCTAAATATGGTTAACGATAACAATGGCAATGAGTACAGCAATCCAATCATGGTTTTATTGCGACTCGTAATACATATGTATGTATGTATGTATATGAAGATGTATGCTTTTACCAACAAAATAACTACACTTTTTGCATTCAGTTGTGTCTAAACCCAATTTGTTTATTTCTACACAGTGATACTTTTCGTTCTTAATTTTTTGAACATCTTATTTTGATTCCTATAGTGTGTATGTATTAAGTAGCCATTAATGGCATGGCATTTGTTAATACAATGGGCCTTTAGATGCTTATGTCGGTATTTATGTACTAAAAGGTGATTTTTTCTTAGACGTGTGGTTTTCAATGAGGCAATACTTTTTCGGAGTTGGTCTTTTTGACAGCTGTTACTTGATCTATACTCAGTTTGGTTTGCCATATCATAATGAACAGACTTACTCCGGAACAACGTTTGCAAATTGTGCAAATTTATTAGCAAAATAATGGTTCGGTTCGCTAGACGCATCGCGCGCTGCGTCCAATATTCGGTCGACATAATCGCCCAGCAGAGTTGGTAATTCGAGCTACAATGGATCGGTTGCGCACCACGTTTACGCACCGAAGTCGCTATTGCTGCTGTGGAGCAGAGTATCGAAGAAGACCCGAATGAGTCCATCCGTCATCGCGCGCAACAATTGGAGCTGTGCCCATCCATTGAATTGGAGGATGTTGATGTGGGCGACCTTTGGTAACAACAAGACGGCGCTACATGTCATATAGCCAACGAAACAATCAATTTACTGAATGAAACTTTTGGTGAGCGCATTATCTCGCATCGTGGGTCTGTGGCGTGGCCTCCAACATCATGCGATTTAACACCGCTGGACTATTTTTTGTGGCGTTAGGTGAAGTCGATTGTCTACGCAGATAAGTCCGAGACGATTGACGCCTTGGCAGAGAATAATCGGCGCGTTATTGCTGACATACGGCCTCAATTGCTGCAAATAGTGGTCGAAAATTGGGCCTTTCGGCTGGAATTTATTCGAGCCAGCCGCGGCGGTCACTTGCCCTAAATAATTTTTAAAACATAATGGCAATGGCAAACCCTTATATTTATAATAAAGCTAAATTCTATTCTAAAAACACCCTTTATTTATATTTTAGTGCATAGGGAAAGCTCAGAGAGTAAGGGCAATTTCCGCAGCTACTTACGCAAACTAAATACTCACCTTTTGTATGCGTCGCTAAGATTTTCGTTAAGTTCTTTAATTTTCCATTTGAGTTGCAAATTATGTAAGGAAATTTCAATGGGTTTGCCTTTATTTTGATCGTATGTATGAGTGTTAGTTTTAAATCTGGGTGCAGTTTTCTAAACATTCACTGTTGTTGGTGCTTGCTTATTATTATACAAATATCTAGGTGGAATTTCAGATTTTTTGTTTTTTTTTTTACTAAAAAATAAACCAAAATCTATGCAAACATATCGATAGAGGGAGCGAGAGGGAGCGCGAGTGTTGGTTTTGTTGAATTAAAGCTGATAAACTTTAACTAGAACTCGATATTAAAAATCCGCCAATATGCAGACATACATACATACAAACAATACGCGCATTATGTACGTGCATACATATCTATAGATTTATTTATTTGTAAACTTTTTTTAAACGTATTTTTTTATGTATGTATGTATATTAATTTCGTATTTCATATTTCTACAAACATCATAATTTCAAATGCTTATATTCAGTACGATTTCTTCAGTTTATTTTTATATTTATATATATATATATATATATATATGTATGTAGTTAGCTGCTAGACATAGTTCGTCGCTCATTACATACATTTTAGTACATATTTAGTACACATTTGTAGGTATACTTGTACGCTCATAAACATTTCGTTTCAATTTCAAATTTAATTTTTATTATTTAAGTGGTTTATGTATAAGTGTTTGCTAGTATGTATGTATGTGTTATAATACAGTTAATATATTAATTTATAGTATTTCAAAAAAAAAATTCACTTTCTCTCGGGGGCCTCAAAGCGTGTGTGTGAGAGTTGTTTGCATTGGTTGTGTTGCTCTTGGTGTTGCTAATGGTGGCTGGATGGTTGGCGTTGCTGTTGTTGTTGGCGATGTTGGATTGCTCGCTGCCATTTCGCCATTTTTTTGTTATTGTTAGTTTTTTGTGGACGCTTAACCTACATACCTACTTAAAGATTTTTTAGATTTTTTCATACTCTTGAAATATTTTATGAATTATTTTTTAAATTGTTCATTCATTTTACAAGTGTCTCTCCGCCCTCGCATGTGCGTTTCTCTGCTTTGTCTTTGTCTATGTCCTTTATATTTCTCAATTCTTTTTTTATGCATTTGAAGCATTTTGTGCACACCTATACTTACAACTACTTATGTATATAGAAAAAAATGCCAACATCGAAATTCGTTTAATTATCATAGTTAAAACTTTTTTTGGAGCAACAGTTTGAGAATTTATTTATTTGGATTCAATTTTTGGTTTTTCATAAAAGTGTTTATGTCCAACACGCATACATATGTAGTTTTCATTTGCATATATTTTTATTAAGTTTTGTTGCTTGTAAGCATAGTAAATTGAAGTTAAATACTGTTCACATTTGTCTTCGTTATCATACATTTGTATATGTATGTATATAAATACATGCCTGTGTAGATTGTAAATAAATACGTATTTTTGGTTTTTTTTGTTTTTGTACTAAAAATACATAGATATAGTATACATAAGTAGGTTAATAAAAAATATTCACTTTAGTTTTCAACAGTTTCTGTAGCACAAGTTTGTGTTTTTTTTTTGTATGCATTTAATGGTTCAACAAATTCGTCTAGAGTTCACTAATAAATCCGGCATAAATTCAAAAATTTTTCAAATCAGTAAATCAGGTTTGTATTCTTTAGTTGTTGTGTTGGACTTGCCAACACTTTAGTCATCAGTTTCAGCACGTCGCCTCCTACCTGGACCGCCAGGGAAATTGGCAGCTGCCAGACCCATGCGATGTTTCGCTTCTTGTGTGCCCGAATAGCCACGCGCCAAACCAAAGTCCACAGTGCGTTTAGAGCTGTGTAAACGGGGAAGAAAGAGAAAGAACTAATTTAGTAAAGAAGTTATATCAATTTGGGATATAGTCTCCATAGTGAAATTTTTTCTATTCATCTATAGCACAGCGCAACAAAAACAAAAAAAAAATAAAATAAAATCGAAACACACGAAGTAATCAATATATTCACGAAATTGTGGGCCAAATATAGAAAAACTGTTTTTTTTTTTAGTTTATCTCTCTGACGTTAGGATGTTTTTTTTAAAAGGATGCCAAAAATTATTTCAAAAATTCAGTGCAATATAGAATAAAAATATGGGTACCAAATGGAAGAGAAAACTCTGCAGAATTAAAAAAACAAAAAAAGTAAAACAAATTTGTTTGGTTAGCAAGGGCGAATAGGTATTTTAATTAATTTTAATTTTTTAAGCTAATACAATTAGAAGGATGAATTTCGATGCAGTAGTCAAGTGTATATTAGCCCTTAACATACAATTTTTTTCAAAAATAATTAACGCAAAATTTCAAGGATATTGAATTACTGAATGCACTTTTTCAGTACCTAATCGTGCTTTTGCACTAAAAAATTTAACCGACTTTGATTCTACAGAATTTTTTCTTTAATTTCATAATCATATTTTTCAAATTCCAAAGTCCTTAACAAAATCCTGACGTCAGAGAGAAAAACGCAGTTCTTCTACATTTGGCCAATATTTTTACGAATATATTTATTTTTTTTTTGTGTGTAAAATTTACTGTCGCACGGTGTTATAAATCGCAAAACATACAGGGTGTTCAATATGTACTCCGAAAAACTTAAGGAGAAGGTAGGGTGGGTGATTACCTCCCACATAAAAAAAAAAAAAACACACTCACAAAATGGTCACCGTTTTTTAAATATCGATATTATTTCAAAAATTAAAAACCACAAAATAGTCCTAATTTTATAATGGTTTCTTAATATCTTTAAACTGCATTGCATTTGAATATGGTAAAGAAAATACCAGGACATATTTTGTAGAAAAAATTTATTTGTAAATGTAGTTAAAGAAAGCATCTGAAAAGGTTCGATTTTTTTTTTTTATTAAAAATACATCAAAATTTCAAAAGTGATGACACTTTTCTAGAGGAAAGTTTGTTCTTGTCGCGGAGGTCACCCCTCAATCTAAATACTTTTTGCTTTTATGATCTCAAATGCAACAAAAAGGAAAATAAGACATTTTATTTAAAAAGGTTGTTTACAGTCTCAAGGTGCCAGCATAAAAAAAAACCATTTACATTTCGCTTCCATCTCTCCGACTTACTCGCCTCTTAACTGCACGGAGATAAACCTCTTTCACGACGAAATCAACGCCGACATTCTTTATCACTTTTACAAAGGAGCCCAAACAACAGTTAGCAATCCTAAAAGACTTGCTTGAGACTAGACGATTAAGGCAGGACTTAGTAGAGCTGTTACAACTAGAATAATAACAACCAATCAAAAATAATCACTGTGGTGACGGCCAAAAACTGACAGAAGTAAATGACCTTTAGAACGGATATGTCAATTCGCGACGCAAAAACTGTATATTGACAGTTAAAGTTCAGTTAGTGGTGTAAGTGTTCTCATTTTATAGCACACATATTATAATAGGAATATTCGCTTTCCTTCACTTCAATTGCGTTCATTCACCTGCTCAAATGAGGAGCTTAGCTTAATGGATTGTAGGCGCATTATTTAAACATTTAATATTCGTAATATTGCGTTTCACCAAATTGACAAACTGCTTTGAATATTTGTGTGTTTACTTAAATAGGATGTGTGTGTGTGTGTGTGTGTGTGCTATTAGATGCTCCACTTGTGGCCAATTTTATTTATGGTCTTTATTTTCACGCCATTGACCATTTGACTTGTGAAACTCATTTAACACTTTCCTCGGCTTTATTTGCACTTAATCGATTTTAAGTTAAAAGAGTATGTATATAAGTGCATAGACATATAATATGTAAATTTGTAACATACAATAACAAAGGACATTCTAGTTCATTAAGTGCGCGTCTAGTAGATAAGGTAAGGGAAACTAATTTCACACAGCACCTCGTAATTTTGAAATGCAAAGCAATAAATACCCATCTGGCTTTGATTTCATAATTAAATTAATAATAATTATATTAGTTTTATTTTGTTTTTCTCTTGTTTGAAAGTTACTCACTTTTCCAGATCATTGCGTGCTCTCATAATCGTTTGGCCGAAACGGGCCATCAGCTCCATTAAAATGTCATCGGGCACCTCCTCCAGCTCATTGTAGTAGCCATTGTTTTGACTGTACATGTATATGTATATGTATGTGCGTATGCGTGTTAATATGCGAGTTGTGTGCGTAGTTTGTGTGGGCGCAAGGCGCATTTATGTTAGCGTTGTTTTGCGACGTATTTCGTTGTTAAGTGTATTGGAAAATAAGAAAAGGCTCATATTAGTATCTTAAGCGCATATTTATTTATGGCTTATGAATTTCTCTGGTTTATAACATTAAAAATATAGTGGCGGACGTAATGATAAGGTCACCTTCAATTGATAAGTTTTAACTATTTTTTTATCAAATTAAATACATATATTCTAATTATTTTTTATAATAAGTTCATAGTAAAAATAAGTTGTATATGGATCTCACGCACAACTGAAGTGAAACTTCTTCTTTTTCTATTATTTTTATTACTACATTACTATTGAACCTGCCAAAATTGATTTTAATATTTTAAGCAGGTGGCAACCCTCTGCAAAAACCTAAAAAATATTCCAAATTCTTCTTCTTGATGCTAGTCACAGTTATAAGCGTTTGTGAGCGGAGCGAAGTGGCTCTAATTTTAAATCACACTGTACCGATAAGAAAGTCCCAACTTCAAAAAGTAAAATGTTATTTCACATCTACAGGCCAAATTCTGTAATTGGCATCCCATTTTGGACGGCGAGTATTTGATGATATTCACAAAAAATGTCTTCGCGTATTATACGCACATAGTTGGAGATAGATATGATTTTTCGAATAGGTGGTAACCCTAATAAAAAATATTTTCAAACTAAAGCCTTTCATAAAACACCTTCGTTTGACACTCACATTTAAACACAATATTTTGTGCATAAGTTAACTAAGTTTAACTTTTCAAACAGGTGGCAACCCTTTTTGAAAGTATTTTCAAACTAAAATCGTTTCAGATCTCTCTTTCGTCTGGCATTGGGATACAAATTTCCATTAACTGATGAATTTGATTTTACAAATACGTGGCAACACTCTAAAATATAGTTTTGAAATAAAGCCATTTTAAACTGATTTCGTTTGAAATACATCTTTTAATAAATCATTTAACATTTAAGAAAAGTTTAACTAATATTTTTAAACCGGTGGCAACCCCATTCAAATACCTCGAGTATATTTTAAATGTTAAAATTAAAGATTTCTTATCACCCTTTCGTTTGAAATCCATATATTAATATTTCATATAACTTATGCATACCTAGATTGAATTCGGTTTTTGAAACAGGTGGCAGCCCTCTTCAAAATGATTTAAAGTAAAATCTTCTGACGCCAGTATTGTGATACATGAATATTTTAATTACCTAATTGACACAACTCTAGTTGAATTTGATTTTTTTAAACATGTGGCAACTTCCTAAATATACATAGTTCGGAAATAAAGCCTTTCGAACTCATTTCTATTGATACCATCTGAGCTGTAAAACTGCAAACCCAAACATTTTCTAAACAAATTTGAAGAAAAATTGTGAAATTTTGATAATTTTTTTAAAATTTTTTTTATAAAATTAGTAACTTGGATTTGTACGGTTTTTGTTATAGAATCAACAATATTTTTATAAAAAAAATTTTTTATTAAAAATAAAAAAAATACTCAAAACTTATCAAAATATGGTGACTTTTTAATTATGTCGGCCACTGTATGCCTGTAAAATGCGTTTTTAAAGGAAATAAGAAGTATTTAGTTTGAATAGTTTTGAGTACCTTTTTCTTTTGAATTTTTATTAGCACTAACATCTTTGCTCAAACTTTAAGTGAAATTTAATTCTTTTATTTTCTTGCTATATCAATAATGGCTCTCTTAATCAACCTTTGAAATTGTAAGAAGTGAGCCATTGCCCTCATAGATGAACGAACCTAAACTAATGGCGTTTTCTTTTCTACAAACATTGTTTGCCTCTCATTGGCCTCTTCTTCTTCGGCCATAACTTAAATGCCTTACTGAAGTAAGAAAACGCATTATGTATACACATAAAAGTTTATAAACAAATTTATAAATTTTGCATAGTTCATCAAAAAATAATTCGTGTCTAGCTACAACTACCTGGGAAATGGCGCGGCCTCCGACGTCGACAGACACAGCGCCCAGCAAACTGCGATGAAAGCCAAATAGGAGCAGAATAGCTTATTTGACATCATTGTGGTTGTTTTTGTGGTTTCTTTTGCTTGGCAAGACTGGAGCTGCAAAGGAAAGAGAAATAAGAAATTATGTAAATTTTGGTTATTAGATATCATTTACGGTTAATGAGTAAGCTAAAAATTGCTAGCTAAGCAGATACTATTTTTTGGCAACCTTTTTGGAGTTTGCCATAACGAAAAACTGATATATCGTGTGCAACTTACCTATGTACGGGTGTGCAAGAAACATCCACATCCAATACTAAAAAATGTATACTCCTTATTTACCCCCCCTCCACCCTTTCTGATTTCTAAGCTACCAGGTAACGTTTTCAGTTGCTTTTGCCCATTATAATTCAATAACGATAAAGCAATCAAAATGAATTAACTTAGCCAGACACCTATTAATTTGAAGGGTGGAAAAAATTGTTGTGTATGCAGGGGAACTTGCGACCAATCAAGGTGTACAGCTTATAACTTGAAGCAATCAATAAAAAAAATGTAGGTATCTACATATGTATTTATGCACCTATGTACGGATGCTATGTGAATTTTAAAGATGTTACTTTTGAGATGTGTTCAGCACAAATAAACTAAGTATTGTGTGTGTGTGTGTGTGTGTGTGTGTGTGTGTGTGTGTGTGAAATCAACGGTAGAATGGATATTGTACACATTTCCTTGGATAGAGTGGATAGAATGACGACAATATTGACGCAAACATATCCATATGCATACATACAAGCTTAACAGAAATACAAATTTATGCACATAAGTACTCAACGGAAACTTGCGTTACTCATATTTTGCACGATCTTAATAAATATGATACAATTTTGGCATACATAGGTAGAGAGGAGATTTTCTAGAGCTTTTTGAACTTGGAAGATTAGATTAAACAAGTAAGGGTGCTGGTCACACAGAAAGCCGAGCGGTGCCAAGCGAAACAAGGCGGAACAAAGCGAAGCTGCTGTCGTTCACACTGAACGAAGCGAAGCGGAGCTTTTCTTACGGACTCGGCTGTAAAGATACCACAAAATTTCCCGTCAATGAAAAGCGGCAAAATATTTGCTCAATTTTATTCAAAATATTAGTTCTAAGATTCGTTTTTATTTGGATATTTCGATTTCTTGTGTGTATGAAAATCATGAGGCTGAAAAATTTAATAGAAAATACAAAATCACAAAACTGCTTTGCCTTCAGGTACAAAAGGTTTCTGAAGAAGCTTGCTGTATGAACACTTTCATATAGCTACAGCAACTTGGAAAACTTCACTCAGCTCGGAACGGCCTCGCTCGGCTCGGCTCCGCTTTCTATGTGAACGTACCCTAATTTTTAAGCAAAAAACAAAACCGGCTTCAATTCTCATATAAAAGTTTAAAACCAAATTAGTATGGGACCACCTGTGAGGTAACACTTTTCCTTCAAAGAAATCGGTTAACGTTGTCCAAAGTTATGCGGTAACATACATAAAAGAATATGTATACATATATATATATGTCTCGTCGAATTGATTGATTTTTGTGGAGTCGATTAAAAAAACAATAATTTTCATGATTCTTAGCGAAATTATGTGATACTACCATAAACTTAATTAGCCTACCGTAGCATAACATACTAGGGGTATTCTCGAGGTCTTGCAAAGCCCTTGTACGGTGCATGGATTGCACGGTTTGCAAAGCTGTCCCATTGGAAAATCGAGTTTTACCATTAGAAAGGAAAGGAAGGACCATAGGAAAAGTCGTAGCTGCTTCTTCGTCAAGCGTCCTGCCTAGCCACTAAAGTTCTAATTATGGCATACTGCAACAACCATCATTTGAATTAGGTTGTCTACACTTAGACCTAAATACAAGGTGAAGCAAAATCTTTCACTCGATGGTCTATGGCTGTATTTTGTAACGACTTTCTCCAAAAGGGCTGCTTAAAAGATGAGAGGATAAAGAATAGGTGCATGCACTTCAGCGGTTCTGCATACCTTGCTACGCTACAGCTTAGCTCAGGGCAATGGGCGTGGGCTTGCGTCCGTACATACAGCGAAAGTCTTACAAAAAAAAATATATAAGTATGCAGATATAGAGAGAAATTGAACGTAAAGAAACCGGCCTACGAAACCAAATGAAGCAGCAAAATCAATTAAGAAGGAAAATGTCCAAGAAAACGCAAAAAGAAAAATACCCTACAACCACTCGGAACTGGAGGGGAGAGAAGATGGCATTTCTCCCTCTGCCTTTACCCACCCTACCTGTTAATAGAGGTTTCCTTCATTCTATTAACCCAACTAATCTCTTATTTCACCTCACCATGACCTTATCCTACATTTCGTCCACATCATAATTCAAATTACCACGACATTTTAGTATATGAACTTCAAGAGATTTAATGCCAGATTCGCCATTAAAATATATACAACGAAAACAATTCCTTATAGTCTAGGTATTATATTTTCCTAACAATATAAAAAAAAAATCTTACAACCTAAGTATTAACTGCCGAGCTTAATTCAGGCGTTTAGAAACGAAAACAAAACCACAAAGGTATCGCTTAACATTTAACTAATGAAGAATCAAACTTATGTTAACATACAACAACGTATGAATACAGGAAGTTAATAATGATAAAGGCGATCAAACTTACTTGCAGTGTAAACAGCATCAATGCGACGATGGGCCCAGCGACGACGATGATGTTCGAGAGTTCGATCCAACTTATTTACTTTTCTTTTGTTCGTGTTGGACGTGGGTGTGGTTCGCCTTTAACTCTTATTTATACATGTATGAACTTAATCCTAATTACCAACACTAAAACTAGCAAAATTTAAGTAAATTTAGTGAAATTGACCAAATGTCTTAAAGCGACGTAGAAAAGAAAAGAACTTTAATCAACTTAAATATTTACGTAGAGTTAGTCGATTTGACTTGGTGATCAACTAAGAAGACAAAACACTTCAATGTATATCAAAATTCTGTAGGCATCAACTCCATTACTTTCTTTTGATCACCAAAACAAATATCAAATTGAGTAGCTTTTAAATGCTTACAATCTTATGTTCAACTCTTCAAGCAACATATTTCTTTTATTCAGATTTTTTTTTTTTTTTTTTTTTTTTTTTTTGTGTTTATATTAAGCTTGAAATCATTTGCTTTTAACCAGGATGTTTCTGCAAACCTTTATCGTAACACTCTCAATGCAATTTTGTAAAAGTACTCTTAATGTTTCTGCCTGAGAATTTTACTTCTTTTTCCTACGCTCGAAACCTTCTTTTTGTTGAAGATTAAACTTATTTTAAGTTCGCAGTTAGTTGTAAGCAGCTATCATTTAAATTCTCCTATTCAAATCAAAATTTTTTTTTTTTTTTTTTTTAAGAGTGGATAAGAAAATCGACGCAGAGCGTGATTTCCGGAACGATGTGAGGAAATGTAGATCACTGCAGTTCGCCGAGTGCGACTCCTTCACAATGGCCCATGAAATGTCCGTCTCCGTGGAGGCTTATGCTTGGTGGAGAACTTTCGGCCGCCTTTTCGGCACCATAGGTGACCTCCAACGGTTTCAAAGATTTCCGCAGACAGCGGTATCAGGACTGAAAGTTTAATTTCACATGAACCCACAGGATTTAAGAACTGAGCCGCTTTGACCTACATACCTTAGTTTGTACTCCGTGTCCAAATTTCGAGATGGAAGTTATATTCGGAACTATGTTTTCGAATCTCCGATTAAATGAAAAGTTTGCACTAATTAATTTCTATGGGGACTTATGAAATCTTTTACACTTTGTATAATAACTTTAATAAGTGTCGCCAAAATTTTCGCACTTGTGCCTGGGATGACTGATTAGCGTGAACTGTACAAGAAAAGAAGTTAAACTTCTAATGAAGTATGTTTAGCGGTCTACGTTTGCCCTTGAACTATAGCAATTTTATGCACAACGGTACATGCCTAGACTATGTACTAGTATACCTAAGTTATGTACTAGTATAACTAAACTATGTACTAGTATTTAGCGAGGATTTAATGCGAGCTGCGTAGGTGCATTGGCATGTATCGGCCGGTTGCAGCTCCCACGAACCGGTTCTTTATGTAGTCACGTCATCCGTCGCCTGACCACACCTATGTACATACACATGTGCATACAAGCTTAGCAGCGTGATAGTGGTATGCGGGAGTTGCTGATATCATCTCATTATCAGCGAAGCGAGCGTAATACCTAGCCCTGCGCGTGGTTCGAGACGCGAACATCCCAGTGGTATATTCTCTTGGTACCTTACCCTCACAAACTCCCCCACCCAGACAAATGGTAACGATGCAGGGCGGAAGTTACCATGTGAAATTACATAGGTCGTGACTACCAAATGTCTTTTGCATGGTAGGTACCTTTGCTCTTGCCTTCAATGTCTTCGAGCATATAATACGCGTTTCCTAGCCTCTTAATACTTTCGCCTTTATACCCCTAGGAGCCAGTTTTGCGTTGAAATGTTTTATCAAATTGCTTTGGGCGAAGTTCCTCCTTATCACCTCTTGACCCGGATAAAACTCTCGCGGGCGTGAACGCAAATTATAAGTCCGGGCATTTTTGTTATACGCGGCTTGCATCTTGCTATTTATGGTATCTCGTATCTCTGCAAATTGGTCTTCCCTCGCGAGCTTAGCAGTGCCTTCGGAAAGGAGGCCTACTTTTTTCAAAACTTTGTAGTCGTCTCCATGTGTTAGCATATTCTGTCCAAAAAGTACGTAGTAAGGTGATGTACCTATAGTATGGTGTAAACTATTTCGCAACGAACAATTTATGCTGCTTATGTACTTGTCCCAATCACGCTGATCTTTACGAATGAATGATCTCAGAGCTTCATTTACCGAACGGTTTACGCGTTCAGATGCATTCGCTTGAGGGGAGTACACAGCAGTTCGGACATGACTAATTCCAAACTTGGCTAAGAAAGCTATAAATTCCTTTGAAGTAAACTGGCTACCATTATCGGATACAACAGTTTCAGGAACGCCATAACAGTCGAAAATTTCTTCTTTAAGGTACTGAGTAATGAGGTTAGTGCTAAATTTCCTTATTGGTTTAA